ATAATTCCAGGTAAAGTTCAAATCACTTCCATTTTGGTTTCTTTATGTTTTCTTTTTTTTTGTTTTAATAGATTACCTCCCATTTCATGTCACATATTTATTTATTCATTAGTAGATGATTAACTTCATAATAAGTAAGGATAAACTAGTACAACAAATAAACAGTTGATAGAATAAAGGGGGAAGAATCTTAACAAAGTACAAAGTGAAAAAGAGACAATAAGTTAGTGAGTCTATTGTATTCATATTTTGTTTTAATCTATATTTGTTACATTGATGATAGTCAAGAATCTCAATTGATTAACCATAGCCAGTATTCACTTAGTATTGTTTGTTTGAATCTTTCCATCGATGTGTTAGGACTGCAACTGGTCAGTCTCTAGTTGGCATATGTGCATACTGTGCGTATTGCCTCGATATTGCCTTAATTCAAAAGCATTATAAGCAAAGATGGATAGTGGCTAGCTGTAGAATCCAGGACAATACGCAGAGTATGCACATATGTGTTATGCTTGAAAACTAAATCGATTCCGCGGTAACGAACGAAAGCCAATGACACAATGACACGATAAGCTATTCTAATCGGTTGTCCCAGGCCCCGCTAACTAGATGAAGAAGTCCAAGGCAAGTAGGGGAATATATATGTATTCCGTAAGCAGCCGAGTACAAGCAATCGAATAAGGGGAAAAGTCAAGCGCATTTATACAGTAACAAATTGTCCTTGAGCATCATTAGTAAATAGCACACATAAAGAAACAATGGACCAATAGCGTTTAAGATAGTTTACAAGTGGGAAATATGACGTGAAGGTAAAAAGAGCGCTTTTGGCGCGAAAACAGCTAAATTCAAATTTTCAAAATAAACTACAAGATTAAGCCATTTACCAAGTAAGTTCTGGGGATTTGACATCCCCAACAATATGCCAATAAGAGACTGACCAGTTGCAGTCCTAAACATCAATGGGAAGAATCAAACGAACAATACTAAGTGAATTCAAACTTCACCTCATTTCACAAGCGAGTGGTTATCAGGACTCAGTAGCTGAGTGGATAACGCAATGGCGTTTGAAGCGAAAAGGACTGGGTTCGAGTCTCACGGTGAACATCAACTCTGAGATGCAGGCAAATCCATCTGACGAGTCCCAAATAGGACGAAACATGCGTCCTGGATTCCACTGCTAGTCATTATCCATCTTTGCTTACATAGCTAGCATGTATAGATTCTAAATACCCTTGTGAATAGATTTTTACTCATCAACTAACCTACTAGCCATCCAAACTCTGTAAATAATGAGTTGATGTTTGAAGCGAAAGGTGCTAGGTTTGAGTCTCAGTAACAAAATCAATATTCTGAAATTCAGGCATACCTAGCTAACCAGTTCCAAATTTAATGAGAAATCTATCCTGGATTGCAACAATAATAGCAAACATATTTTAATCAATTGTTGACGTTTATTTTTATTTTTAGTACATCACTAAATTCATTTATGTAGGAATTTTTGGCTACTTTCGTGATTTGATTTTGAAGAATTACAGGCTCCAAGTAGCTGATGAAAACTTGGAAAAATGAAGTGAACTTATGTTATTTCCTTAAAATTGTTGTCATCATTTATTTTGAAGCTTTTGACAAAAGAAGTTGAATAAAATTGGAGGTGAGGTGAATAAATTACACATTTGCGGCCCACTCACAAGGAGCGCTGAGAGTAAACTAGAATTTACAGTCAAAAAACAATAATATCAACCTTAACCATCAATACTAAACACGTACTTTTAATCGGTGATATAGCTATTGAATATTGTTAACTTCAATCAGTGATTATTTGTCATCTTTGCTGACTACGACAAATAAATGAACTAGAACTCAAATAAAATGACTATAGAAACAATGATTTATGGTTGAGACAAACCTAATACACGAATATTTATGTGTATACATATATGTTTTTCCTGAGCGGTACACATCTATAACCCCAGCATTAATAGGACTGATAACTATTACAGCCGGCAGTAAACATGATACATGTAGACCAATAGTTGAATATTTTATATTCTAACCAAATAACAACATAACATGATGACCACCTAATGTTGTGTGTGATTACTGTCTCACTTTTAGAACGGTCAAACATCATCCTCCATTAATTTTCAACAGAAACTTGATAATTCATCTTATAGCAAGTCACCGGTGAGCACTATATAATTCCTACTAATTATGGTCATGAACAAATATTATTTGATAAATACTTTATAAGACTCATAGACTTAAAAATATGCTCAATAAAAGTATATTTTATTGATGTATAATAATTTTGAAGATTTTGCACTATTATTTCAAAAAGCATACCACCAGTTTAATGGTCCTTGACTTTTAAAATGAGAACTACAAATATATTACTGATAGAATGAAATTCAGCAACCATTTGACGATTTGCTGACAAGTTATAAACGCAGGCTGTTTTTTCAATGTCTGTGATTGCACTAGTTAAATGTTCCCATCTTAATGAATGGAATAAAGCTTAGACCTGTGATCCACTATGTGAAAAATCAATTCCCATAACCAACAATTCACAGCTTTATAGATAACGATGGAAATGCTGAAAACTTAAAAGTAGAACAATCCGATTTATTGCAAACTATCTTGTAATTTATTGGCACTATATGTGCTGGCAAGATGAATTATCAATCTACAAAACAGTATTACAGAAATAAGAATATAAGCAACATAAAACAGTTATACGCGTTTTTCACTATCAATAAACAGTTGAGAAATATCTCTGGCCAAACATGTCGCTGACCATTTTAAGCAAAATAGTCATTTAACAAATATTTTAACTATATTAGTTACATAGATGTATAGTATGTGAACTTTTAACGGCAAAGCGATATGTGAAAAACATCGCAATATTATGGAAATATTATTCTTTCAGTATACGGACTTTCAGAAAAATACCTAATCTATTGGATAGTTTTTGGTGAAAGAAAATCTAAATATTTTGATGTAATCTACTGTAATCACAACCTTAAATAATAAGTGAATGTGTTTATCAACTGTACGACTTAAATCAAGTTCATAAAATCAGTGATGTTAAACCGAAATGTTAAAATGTTCAGCCTACTAAGTAATAAAGTATTAGCAACTCATAAAGCAAATAAAACTTTATGTATTAAATTTAAGAATTGAGAATTTCACGCCAATAACGAATAGAAGCCAGGAAGTTAAATAAATTTCAAACACAAAAGCTAATTAAACAGGTAGAAAACATACAGGCAAAATGGTCATTCAGTGCTTTCATGTTTTTACCGAATGTCTAATTTAAATTGACTTATGAATTTAATGAAATTTAACTATTTCCAGTACGCATACTGACGAGAGTGATTTCTGTAAGGTGAATTTGTTATTTTGTGCCGAACAAGTATTTCACTTTAAGCTGTCGATCTTACTATATCATCAGATTCTTAAATTTCACAGAAACTTATTTCATGAAAATCATTCAGCTCCAAAACAAGTTTGTGATTGGTATTCAGCAGAATATTTTGCTAAATATAATTTCTAACTGATTACTAAACAACAATTAACCATCTAATACCATAAAACTTTGAACATAAACCATAACATTTACAAGTCAGTATGTTGTTATAGTCTGTTTATTAAGATGTAACTTACATAGTTCATGAGCTGCCTAGAGTAGTGAAATTTTTTAACACTTCAACGATTTATTGAACTCTCTCAGGATAGTATTCCTAATTTAATCTGAACACATTCCACGAGCTTAGGTGTATTTTTAAATTGCTTTTGAAGTTTATTGTCTCCCAAATTTGCAGCAGAATCATAAGTCAAATAGCTTCTGAATTCAAACCTGATTAGTTCATTTGATGAAAGCTGAAAAAGTAATCACGTCACCATCCATATAATACTAATCCTCTATCTGTCTATTAATAAAATAAATGAAATACACAGGTTATCTACTTACGTCCAATAACCTTTCCTTAACTATTCATCAAACGGAATACCTGAGTGTTGAAAGCTTGACAGATAAAAATAGAATTGTAGTTACACACAACTAGTGACCGTTCAGAACGACGAAAATTTCACTCTACCGACGTGGTATCTCAATCTTATACTCACTGGTATCTTTGGTTGAAATTAGGTAACTTGGACCTAATTTGTATGCAAGACCAACAGCAGAACACTACCTAAGATGTATCAGTCAAAATAAGACCTAAATACTAGAACTCAAATAATTTGGGGCTGAAAGCTCAGGAAAAGAGTTAAGTTTGATAATCGGATTGATAAGAGAGGTAGTTAGAGTAAGACTTATATGTCTTTCAGAAGAAACCTATTTCGTCACATTATATAAACTTAACTGAAGAAATGCACCTCCTCTCAAGAAACGACATGCAATTCTTGAAGACGACCGTCAAGAGCCGAGAATATCCAAACAGTATATTGATCAACCGTATTCTGAAGACTGAAGTCAAAACCGATCCAAAGTTTTCTTATGAGTCATTTGGTGTTAAAAACGGTTCCAGAAAAAAGTGTCAGTTTTACAGATGCACTAAAATCCCAAACTTTGTATACATAATGGTTTTAATGTCCGTCGTTGCTGCGTGACATAAACACTAGCATATTTCCTCGTTGCACATAAATATTGCTTGTTGGTTTCACTAAAACGGTCGAAACTTTTGAAAGAAAATACCACCGTCAACTTTTCTTATCAAAGCTAACAAATAAATTCAGTGGTCTGTTATATGGAATACTGACATTCAAAGAATATTCTTTGAAATACTACATAGTATTTTATGGCTAGTGAACCGAAGTTCAAGCAGTGATTTTTGATCGATCAAAAGTCACATAATCCAAAAGTTAACGTCCTATTGATTTCAGTCATTCAAGCTCGTTCTTTTAGGAATATAACTGAAAAGAATTACACAAATATTCTTTGAGAACCAATTATAGTTGTAATTCATGCACAGACATTTGGAAACAATATGAAAACTTACTATTTGCACATCTATTCTTAAGAATGCTTTTCATATCTGCGAATTGTTTAGATTCCAACAAGTATATTTCTAACTGAAGAAATATAGTAAGTTCTGTTTAAAGCTAGATTTGAAAGTGACAAGAAGAAAAAAATTACATGACCTTGAAAAGCTAAGCACTGAAACTAAACCACAGACAACGTCTTATATTAATTGGCCTGTTTTATTTCTTGTTGCACATACTTCCGTACGAACAGATTTTGGTTTTTTCTATTAGCGGATAATTCTGGTAACACTTATTTGAGTTAGCCTTTTTTATGAGTTGTAGATAATCAATTTAAGTGGTCTGTCCAATGACTGCAGTCTTCTCGAGTTGAACGAGAATAGTGTGACCTCCTGACTTGCGCTGAGATTAATTCTTTCAGATAATATGTGGCGTGTATGAATTTCTCATGATATCCAGATACTGTGACTACTATGGTGACCACATATTACTAACATGACGTTACATATATCATGTATCAGTTTGAATAGACTGAAGAAAAAGACGATGAGAAGGATCGGAGAGCTGTTCGACACTCACTAACCTGCCTACAGGATGGCGTGATTAGGGCTAGGTGACATTTTGTTGACCTCAAAGTGTAGTCAACGGACGAGAAAGACGAGACCCTATGATGAGTCACATTGAGCGAGGTTTGCAAACCATTCCTGAACAAGACTATACGACATCTTGACACCACTATTCATCGGACACAGTCGAGAGTTTTTATTTTGTTAGTTTGTTCGTAATCAGCATCATCAGATCGGCTACCAACTTTAGATTGCAATTAGTTGTACGACATTGCTGGAGTTTCGTTTGCTGCCTGACGTTTGTAATACTTAGAGTTTCAAAGTTTTGAGGCCAGAATATTTAATGTTCATTTTCTTGCTTGACTGTGTTTGATATGATCAACATAATCTATCCTTGAGGTGAAGGAACAATATTTGTTACTTGCAAGAAAAGTTTGTTATCTTGAACAGTTAACCCCTTACGTTGAAACTACTTCACTAGGGACATTTTTCGTGTTTTTTACTGAGAACCTTTCTACTTATTTTAAATTAATCATGGAATATTTTTAGTGCTTTGATACCTCACTAATCTATAGTTGATCCCAAAAGTTCACCGTTGTAAAGGTAACCATAATTGCTGAAGAAAGCAGTGTCCAAGAATAATCTGTTCAATTTCTGCAATTATTTACCTATTTGGTACCACTTGTCTGAAATGTTTACTAAGGTTTCTTGCTATATGAAACATATTGGGCATTATCGACTTTGGATATACTTGTGCTGAGGTAGATCACTGAATCTTTCTACCACCTAGACCACTAATGGGCACAGCGAATTTCTGAAACTAAATACGAACTAGGCGAATGAATACGGGATTCTAGGTGAGATCTCACGTATCTCTGGTACGAAAACCAAAGTATTTTCAGAAGAGTATTTGGATGTTTAGAGTGGTCACTTAAGAAAGCGAAGTCTTAGACGCTTCCACACTTCAAACTTCAGTCATTTCTATATCATGCCTAATATACATATCTGGTTCTTCTTGTCAATGAACCTATAGGAGCGTTATTCCAATGATGATGTATGAGGGATTATCATTGTTACTTATGTTTACTGACTAATCCTTCAAGTCAAACCTTGAAACCATGTATCCACTTCATCTAATTCGTCTCCGAGCTCAAGCTTGTTAGCATCATAAATTGTTATTCTCCAAATATTTTCGTTATATGAAACAAAACTATATCAATGGTTTAGACAAACCCAGTAAATTTTCGACAAGTAGTAAAAATAATAGCAATAATATAGTAATAATAGTAAAATAATAGTACCCTTAAGTTGATCATTTTCAACGCACTATCATCTAGACACGTGATCGTCTATTCTTACTCATCACCTTAAACTTCAAAAAGGGTTTTTATCCAATGTCACTAAGGTTCTGCATCAGTCTTATTGATGGTAATTTGCTGAGTGCTTTATTCAAATCCATAAGTATTACATCGATATCCAGATCACTGTGTGGGGACTCATCCCAATCCTTTTTCTTAATGAGTAGTTCAGTGAATCAGGAGTATCTCCTACAATATCTGTCAAGTTCAGGGCATCACAGTCCTCTTAGTTCTAAGTGAACAGGCAGCTGATCATGAATTATTGCTCCTGACACTTTATATCAATAGTGAGGCTGGCAGGTCGGCAAAACTATAGTTAACAATAGAGCTCCTCAAACCCCTGGAGGACAAAGTTTGGGACAAAGGCGAACCGAATAAATTTGCTAGTTGCCGAGAGACCGTCTACGTTGAACAGTACCAATCAGTCCTCGAAGACCATCTGACTTACCAAGTTTCAAACAGACGAGACATCAAAAACCAGTTTTGATGTTATGAGTACATGTCGGTTGTTCAAAATCTCAGTAGTAGTAGGATGCATTAATATTGTTAATTCCAGAGTTTACAAAGTGGTCTGACCAGCTTTCGTTTCGGTTTTAATCTGATTTGGCCGCTGGCCCTTGATTTCTGTATGATTATAACAGAGGGGCTTGTGAGTTGTTCAATGTTCTATTTTTCTTACCCTGAAAATTTTACAATATTCACTTTCATATCCTTTGGTTTGCTATTAGCCCTTCCCGTCTCTTAACCACATATAATCTGACTTGTCTCTTATAACTTCATAGTATTACGATATATTAAATGGATATCTAACGCATAATACAAATGCTATTGCCATCTGATTTGCTTATAACATGGAACTTGTAGAGACAGTGTATTCCAAATATGGTCCTTGATTAAAGCAATATTCATACCGACAACAAACGTAAGAGGGCCTAACATCATAAAAGGAGGGAGGGTGGCGTTACTGACCAGCAAACATGATGGTGGGGAGATAACTTCAATCCACCCGTGTCTGTGAGGCAGAACATATTAATTACGGCTCCTTAGGTCTAGTGGGATGCGTGTTGATGCGAAATTATTCATGCAAAATACCACTTTAAATCATAAAAAAAGCTGAATTGGTTCCACTTCCTACCGAGTAATCCTATTACAAGCAAACTAGATAATTGGCTAAAAACGAAGCCCACTCAATACCCTATAAAATCTAAAAACCAAAAAAAGAGTTCAAACAGCTTCTAAAGTAAAGGGAGATAGTCATTTGTATCGGAATACTGTTTTCAGCACTTTATTTTATAATTACACAATTCCATACTTCCTTCTAAACTACCTTCATTTATACAGTTCCTTACCCACTGATACCTTGCCCACACTTATTTTTCTTTAACACATTAGTATGCTCTTACCTAATAAGTACTTCAGTAACAGACAAATAGACTAAATGGTTATACCTTAACTATTCCTCCATGAATATTGTGTGCTCGGCCTTTCGCCCTTCCTTTTTCTTACACCTTTTCAGCCTCCTCCAGATACTCCACCGAAAACAGATATGGCACGGGTGACTTCGTCCTACACCGTTATTGAAGCTTCCAATATTCTGGAGGGATATAAGTTCGAAACTTCTAAAAGCCCCCAACTTCGCATGTATCTATTCCCGACCATCAGTTGTATGTTGCAACGCTACCTCAATAAAGTGCGCCAAGTGTGATATTGACATGTTCCTTACGAAATCCATTTACATTCATATCTTATGAAATATCAACCCAGCTGAGAATTTTTCAACAGTGAAAATTGTAACTTCTTTAACATTTTGATCTTGCCTGTAAACCGGCATGCCTCATGTAACAAACTGTTATTTGAGAATAAATTATTATTATTATTAGGACGTACATTGCAATCGTCAGTCTGACAAAGAAAAAGTCATTTTGAGAAACTAGACTTCTCACTTCCCAACCCAATTTTGCATGCATTAGGAAAATTAGTAATGGTAGTTTTATACTCCTGACAGTATGTAATGGGAATTAAATTCTACAAACAAGTACTGGAGATGTTTCCCAACACCTAGTGGCCTTTTGGTCAATTTCTTTACTAATAGTGATCTGTTGAAAGCACATATTCTTATACGTATTCCTGAATTTGTATCACACTTACTTGATGGAATGACAACTGATGGCTTATCAAAGCCATCCCTCTGTTATACGTCAGTGACTTTCTGTTCACCTACACAAAATCAAGGCACAATTACATAGCAATATATGGGACGAATTAGTATGATTGAGTATAAAATATGCAAAAAGATAAAAGATAACAATGGCATCAGGTTAAGCAGTTGCTAGGAAAAGTTCGTACAGTCAAATCTGGAGTACATCAAGTCACCAAATTCATAAAGCACTAAAAACTAGTCACTTGTAAAAAGAAATATGATTCAGACGGATAAGAGATATAAAACCCTTTTTAGTCAAGTTCTATCTTCACATCTGGATGGTTTTATCGCGAAGCTTTAACTGATCTTCCAAACATCATCGGCTCAGAGAAGTGCATCTAAGCCTCCTTGAACAAATCATCCACATTAACGAACAAAACTTCACTGAAATCATTGACCTAAACTTCCAATCTTCTCCACCATCCCTAGTTGTGTCTATAAGTAACTTTATTATATATCATGGAGAAGTCTTAGATGCCAGTATTCACTAGACCTTCGTGTTCTACTGAAAGAGTCCATTTATTATGCCCGAACAAAGGTTTTGTATAACATGATATACTGAAAATGCTGGAATCCGAACAGAGTAAAACTACTGAATGTGTACTTCCGGATACGTGAGAACAAACGTATCACAGTAGTGTCTCAGTCTCTTCTAACGATTTGACCGTCAAACTTAATTAAAGAAGCGGGAACGACAGATGGTAGGAAAATTGTGTTTCTTTATGTGCAGGTGAAACGTTATATGTGACGTCCGAGCACATTATTTGTCGAATGATATCCGCCTTGAGACAGGTCGTTGTGTGATCTGATGAAAGTACGCGACCGGCCGCCTTCAAGCACTGCTGTGTCTTGTGAGAATAACATGCGCCGAATGCCCACTAGGCCATTTGTTTCGGAATTTTATAACATTACCTTGCTTAAATGATCATGGTGAATGACATGGTTATTCATCGCAAAATTTTCATTAACTCCATCACTTCACTGAATGAGATTCCGCTTACACTAGCCAACATAAACCTCCTTTCAATTATCTTTTAGATACAAAAGTAAATAATACACCACTATTGTTCGGTATGTTTGTTGAATATTTAGGTTTGTTCTGGTGATTGTTGAATAATTAAAAAACTTAGTGTAG